CCCTTCCTCTCTCTCCCCTCCCTCTCTCGATCCCCTCCTCTCCCCTCACCCGCTATGGCTCGCTCTCCTTCACTCTCACACACACACACTCTTGGTCCCGCTTCCCTTTCCTCTCTCTCCCCTTCCCTATCTCGCTCCTCATCCCTCCCTCCTCCCCTCCCTCGCCCCCTCACCCGCTATGGCTCTCTCTCCTTCACTCTCACACACACACTCTTGGTCCCGCTTCCCCTTCCTCTCTTTCCTTCTACTTTACGGATGTGAACCTAACGAGCATTGCTTCTCTCTCGCCTCCAGGGGTCGCTGCAGCGGCAGTTCTCGGGCGAGGAGCGTCGAGCGGGAGGAGGAGGAGCAGCAGCAGCCGCGGGAAGCAGCGAGGCGACGGGTGCGAACTCGCTCAACCCAGGTAGCGTGTTGTGCATGAGTGTGCATGCGCCCGCACGTCGCCATGTCACCAACACTTGCCTCGGTGGAGCAAACTTTTTTATTTTTTACGGCTTTCTTACGTACGCTAGATTAGTCTAGATAGTGGGGTCGGCTTAGGCCAAAACAAAATATAGGTGTGGTTACGGTTTCCCGACCGACCCTATTTATTCCCAGCGTCCCTAAACATTTTATTGTCAATTTTATTTAAAGTAAAAAAATATTAAAAAAAAAATAAAAATATGAATTGGACAGTTCCTGCTTCAAAAGGCACAACGCTCATCCTTCGGACATGGTTCATAAATAAAATATTTCAAGAAAATAAAATGTTTTCCCTACCTACCTACCCTATTTTTTTTCGGCATGTAACGGTAACCACACATGTATATATTTTGTTTTGGCCTTATGGTCGACGGGGAATGGGGTGGGATGGGGGTGGGCGTGCCTCGTAAGTAATAGAGACTAGCTTAACATTGAGCTGTACGGATTGTAGGAAGCCATTGTGGTTTCTGTCAGTGTCGGTGCTCTTTGTGGGTGCGTTAGTTAGTTAGTCTCTGTACACTAGATCAGTGCTTCTTAAACTATTTCAGTGTCATTCACCCTCGAGTCTTTCTCTCAGTCACAGTCGAGTCTTCTTCCCACTCAAATTTCATTCAGCCGTGACTATATTTCCTTATGTTTTTGGTCTAGTTTCATTCATCCCAAAATAATTTCATTCACCCTTGGGTGAACCATTCACCAGTTTAAGAAGTACTGCACTATATGCTTCGCACTTTTAGTTTGCATTAGTTCTATTAAATTTACTCTTCCTCACAGTAGAATGTGTAACTAGTTATATTTGTATTGCTTTGAGCACGGTTTAATTATTAAATATATCACGCGAAATTTTTTCAATAAGCAAGAAATGTGTGAAAAAAACTTAATACAAAAAGATTTATAAGTGCAAAAAAATGCTTTTAAATTCGTTTGTGTTGCTGCTTTCAATTGTGAAATTATTTGTGTGGTTATTTTGTCATTTCCTGATCAATTCATATACCACGTACTTTTAGGAATGCCTAGCTATGTTGTACATTTCTGGCTTATTAGGAAAAATGTATGGTTTTTCCATTACGGCGACCGTGCTCTGCAGCATAAGTAGCATACAACGAGATTCTTTCTCTTTAAGGAGAAAATCAGGCTGCCGGTTTTAGTGGCGGTACATATCGCATTGAAAGTAGTAGTATATTAATTAGGTTATATAATCTTTTCCTGCTACTCTAACAGGAATTCGGTGTGACTTGTTTTCGTTGTAATCTGTGCACGAACCCATGCACCACACACGCACGCACGCACGCACGCACGCACGCACGCATGCACGCGCGCGCGCACACACACACTGTCTCAAATATGCACACCTGCTGTGTGCGCACACACATGCGTGCATGCATGCTCACAAACACGTACACTTCTTTGTACAGTTCTTTGTCCTTCTTTACGATTTAGTGTAAAGAAAGCAGTATTGTTTGCAGGCCTTCTAGGTGCGTGTAGGTATCAATTTAACAATTGGTATTAGATTTTCCTGTAAAACATGAGCGAGTATTGCTGTTAAGGGGACAGCTGAATCGTCAACCTTTTCTCTCCTCTCTACGTGAGAGAGGTCATTATCAATGTACGCTGTGGTTCAGTTGATCATTATGATGAGTTTAGTTAGCGGTGATGACAGAGCGAATGATTTCATTTTTATTGCCGGATGGTTGCGGAGCGAATTCTTCGCTGACATTTGCAGAGCGAGGAAGTGAGGAAGTGATGCATTGAGCCAGCTTGCGTGTGTGCATTAAGTGCTGTATGCGACTGAACAAGAGAGAGTGAGAGAGAGGGAGAGAGAGCAGATGAAGAGAGGCAGATTGAGAAGAGAAGACGACAGAGGAGAGAGAGACGACGAGAGAGAGTGACGGAGTTCGACGATCGCTGGATGCCGCGACGTACGAGGAGATCCGCGCGGAAAGCCGACGCGGTGAACCTCGAGAGAGATGAAGCTCGGAGAGTGCGAGAAAACGAGGACGAGCAGAGCCAGAGCGAGGCGATGCGACGCAGAGAGAGGCCGAGGGAGGAGGCAGACTGCGACGCGATAAGACACCTCAGGGATGATACTACCCCGACGGCGACCGCTTGGAGGAGCAGACGACGACTCGAGAGGAGCCACGAGAGAGCAGATGAGATGACAGAGAGAAGAGAGAGCAGACAGCAGAGCGAGAGAGAGAGAGATCGAGAGATGATGACTGAGAGAGAGAGCAGAGAGAGACGACGACGAGAGAGACCGATCGAAGATGAGAGAGAGAGAGAGAAGACCGAGTAGCCGAGATAAGCCGAGAGAAGAGACAGAC